CGAGAACAGTACCAGGCAAAGAGTAAATGCGCAATCAATGTGCTATTGTTACCATTCGTACCATCGTTATGATTGCTCATCTAGTCCTCTCCATTTATGCCACACAGTTCTATTTATCTGCTATGCGCATGTGCTGCAGGATAAACTATTTTTTTAAAGTAAAAGGAAATAGCACTTGCCTTCAAGACTTTTGGAAGTTAGTGAAGGAATCAGAAAAGCACAAGAGTAATTGGAATGCAAGTGAGCCGTGTTAAATGCTTGACCTACTCTGATGTCCAGGCCAAACCCACAAGCCTTCCCAGGGCAGAAGGGAAGCAATGCTCAGTGTGCCTGAGACAAGGTGCTTCCAGCTTACCCAGCATGCATCTGGTTTCCATGGCAACAGCTGGACTGAAAGGTGGGCAGGAAGGATGTGTGAAAGATGGCCAGAGATGACCATTACCTTAACCAAATGAACACACTGTTAAATAAAACATACCCCACTTTCCTATCTTGAGAAATACACCTTCATAATGACGTGGAGCCCAGATTCAAATGGAGAGTTCTCAGGCCACTTGGAGGTCAGCCTCAGAACATGGAGGCATGAGGAGATCCAGTCCCTGGGCCCAGAATGTGACCTGCCCCCTTCTCTCCCCCATCCTGGGCCCACTTCACATCACAAGGGGCCTTGCACACATGCGTGTGAGCATCCTGCCCACGCATCAAGCTGTATTCACCAGTCACCCACAAACAGTTGCCCCTGGACCACCCTCGGGCCTTGGGCCTGAGACAGTGCACACCAGTGCCACCCACAGGAGGTAGGCCTAGGGGAAGAGGCCCCAGCAGCATCTATAACCAGTACAGAGCCTCTTAGGTACCTGTACTGGGGTCCTGGGCCCCCAGAGCACGGTCTATAGAGCAAGGGCAGGCTCTGGGTGGGCATGCCCCCTTGAGCCCTTGGACTTCTCTATCGTTTGGGAGGAGGACCAGAGTTGGGTTCTGTAAAGCTCGGGGCCTGGGGCAGAGACTGCGCCCCCTTGCACAGGTCTAAAGGCAATACCAGTTCTTCGCCACTCCTTGACTTTTCAGTATTGGACTCTGGGGTCAGACAAATCTGCAGCCAATCCCAGCTTAGGCTGCAATACAACCTTTGCTGTTGTTGTCAGTCTACTCACTCCGGCTCATGGCAACCTCATGTATCACAAACAGAATGTTGCCTGGTCCTGTACCATCTTCACGATCATTGGCATGTCCTTCTCCAGCGATCAAGTCCTCCTGACGACGTGCCCATGGGTGGCCCTGCCGGTATTTGAGACACACGTGGCATGGCTTCCAGCATCATAGCAACATGCAACCCACCATCGTATGGCAGACTTAGGGCTTTTTCATTTGTAGAAGTGTACGTGTGTGGAGGTAGATGGGGGGACTGTCCTGAGGATTAAGTGAGAAAGTATTGCACGAGTACCTACCGTGAGCCTGGCACGCAGTAGGCCCTTTACAGGCCAGAGGCTCTTTCTCTCATCCTGTTAGAAGTAAACCAGATCTTAGTCTGAAAAAGTGGGAAGAACTGTTAAAGCAAATTCCACAAGCGTGTGTAGCAACCACCAGCATTATCTGGAGGGAAGAGCAGAGAGGATGGCCAGCAGGCAGGTGTGTGCGGTAACGGAAGTGCTGCCTCCACAGCAGTGGACTCTGGGAGCCGGGCCAGTGTTTCTCCCAGAGAGCAGTGGAGGGACCGGGAAAGGTGTACAGGCTGGGTCAATGTATTTTTTTCCCCCTATTTGGAGAAAATCTTGGTAGTCAGATGCAATTTGCCTGGAAATGTACGAAGATTAATGATTTGATGATTTTCCCATGTGAGGTCTATCTTATTTAGGACTCAGTCTAGGTCCCACTGAACTGTCAGCTCCTGAGGACAGAGCCGCGTCTTGTTCCCTAACGAATCCCCAGCTCCTAGCATATTACCTGGCACATAGTAAGTGTGCAATAAAAACGCATTGCATGAACGATTTCAAATCGGGTTTACTGCTTTGGATGGAAGACCCTTAGTTCATATGTTGGCTCTAAGCTTCCACAGGCATCTCCAACTGGACTCATTCTCTTCCTCAAATCTTTCCTCCTCCCACTTGCCTTTCTTGGTGGGCAGCACCACCAATCCCCCAGCCAGGACATTGTGCTCTGGACCTCCCTCTTCACTACCCCTTATACCTGGTTGATCAATCCCACGTCCAGGTGATTCTACCCATTTGGTAGTTTTTTTAATTTATCCAATTTACCACCACAAACCTAGTTCAGGACACTGTTTGCTCTGCCATGAGATACTGCAGAGCCTTTTAGATGCTCACCTCCCACCCACTGGTGTTCCTCACTCTATCCTCCCCAGTGCAGCCAGAGCAGCCTTTACACATCTGATCACACCCCTCCTGGGTTTCAGGATAAAGTCCAAGCTCCTTGATACAACCTGTGTGACCCTGTTGTGTTGTTGCCTCCACTAGACTGAAGATCACGAGAACAGGCTTTGTCGTGCTCCTCTTTGTATCTCCTGTTGCTATTGTCATCGTTAGCTGCCATTGAGCCCGCCCCTGACTCCTGGTGACCTCGTGCATACTGGACGGAAGGCTGCCCGGTCCTGAGTCATCCGCATGATCTGTTGTACATCCGACCGTTGTGATCCATAGCGTTTTCTTTGGCTGGGTTTTGGAAGTAGATGGTTGAGCCTTTCTTCCTGGTCCAACTGAGTCTGGAAGCTCCTCTGAAACCTGTCTAGCATCATCACAAGCTGCAAGCCTCCACTGACAGATGGGTGTTGGCTGCACATGGAATGCATTGGCCGGGAATCAAACCTGGGTTTCCCTCATGGAAGGCGAGAATTCCACCACTGACCCACCAAAAACCAACACCCATTACTGTCGAGGCGGGTCCGACTCACCACCAGTGCCTCCTATAATCAGCCAGAAGTCAATAACTGTTCGTTACATGAATGAATAAAGTTTTTTTTTAAATCAAAACAATTTTTGATCTATTAAGAAAAGCATGAAATTTGATGTTAAAGATTTAAACTATCAATCAACAAAGACAGCAGCTGCCCTGAGTAACTCTCAGTGGTTTGCCCTTCCTGAGCGTGGCCCACACCCACCGTGGCTGCTTCAGGGCAGGGCCTTGGGCACCTTGCACTGCCCTTCCTTTGGATATGGAGCTAATTCAGTCATGGAGTGAGTAGCTGGGCTATTTCTAAAAATCACCATCTTTCTCTGGAGTGGTCTCTCCTGAAATCTGACATATTTAAGCCACGTGGCGGCTCAAGAGAAGCCTGGAGAGTCTGTGTTAGAGGAACGGCCTTCAGGAGTTTATTCTGCAGCTGAAGGGCTGTCCAGGAATCACGAAGCTGGTCCATCTTTGCATTCACCACAACATTCTGCCCCATAGAGACACCTGCAGAGTTTCTGGGGAGAAAGTATCCGTGGTCTCATTTCTGGCGTAGGGATCACGCCGGTGACAGGTTTTGTTTATTCGTTTCTTTGAAGAAGCTACTTAATACCTCTGAGTCTTAATTTAAAACCAGTTGTTATCAAATCTCATGGCAACCCCACGTGTGTCAGAGTGGAAGTGTGTTCCGTAGGTTTTCCAGTGGCTAATTTTCTGGCAGTAGATTGCCAGGCCTTTCTTTTGAGAATCTTAATTTAGTCATCTTTAAATGGGAATAAAAACAGTAAATGCCTCACAGGGTTCTTGCGAGGATTAAACAAAATGAAGCGTGTGTTTGGTTTATCATCCCACTGTAAATGTTCCATGAAGGTCAGGGATTGTCGGTTAATTTTTTATATTTGCTTTGTTTTATAACAGGATTTGGAGATGCTCCTGAAATGTGTGCCAGATTATTAGATGAGACAAGTAAATGAGAAAACTAGGGTCTATAGGGACATCACAGCACCCAGAGAATCATAAGGGTTTTAGCTTCCTTGCGCCAGATACCCACTTGGCCATCCATTCACTTGTTCATCGGCTTGTTCAGCACTTGACTTTGGGCGGCTCTTTGGTCTGGGGGCATATTCAGAGGCTTGGCAGACCTGCTCGAGCCTCAGGATGGAAGAAGAGTCCCGAGACATCCAACAGCAATACAGTGTGAAAGGAACTGTGAGCAAAAAATGGAGACGGGTGGGTGTCCCATGGCTTGTCTGGGGAGGTGCCATGGATTGAATTGTGTCCCCCAAAAAGGTGTGTCAACTTGGCTAGGCCATGATTCCCAGTATTGCGTGATAGTCCACCATTTTGTCATCTGATGTGATTTTCCTATGTGTTGTAAATCCTACCTCTATGATGTTAACGAGGCGGGACTCAATCTACAAGATTAGATTGTGTCTTAAATCAATCTCTTTTGAAGTATAAAAGAGAGAAGTGAGCAGAGAGACAGGGGGGCCTCCTACCACCAAGAAACAAGAATCAGGAGAATAGCGCATCCTTTCGACCCGGGGTCCTTGTGCTGAGAAGCTCCTCGACCAGGGAAGATTGATGACAGGGACCTTTCCCCAGAGCTAACAAGAGAGAGAAAGCCTTCCCCTGGAGCTGGCACCCTGAATTCGGACTTCTAGCTTCCTAGACTGTGAGAGGATAAACCTCTGTTTGTTAAGGACATCCACTTGTGGCATTTCTGTTATAGCAGCACCACATAACTAAAACAGGGGGCTGCCTGGATTAGTCCTCATATACGATGCTCTGGTAGCGCAATGGTTAAGCGCTCCACTGCTAACCCAAAGGACAGTGGTTCGAACCCACCAGCGGCTCCACAGGAGAAAAGACCTGGCAATCTGCTCCCATAAAAAGGCCAGCCTAGAAAGCCCTGTGGGGCAGTTCTGCTCTGTCACGTGGAGTCACTACGAGTGTGAATCGACTCGTCTGCATAGAACAGCAACAACGAAACACAATGAACGAGGTTTGCAGTTACCTCTCCACCCTGACGATGTATCTGCTCTGTGTTTGTTTTAGCAGCTCCCTTGGGGGGCCGCATGTGATAAAACAAGAAGATGGCCAAGATCAACACCCAATACTCCCACCCCTCCCAAGACCAGCTGGCGGTAAGGATCATGGACAGAGATCTCGATCACGTTGAAAATGGCATCAGCCGGTAAGTAAGATGGCCCTTTCATTTGATACCTAGACCAGCCCAGGTTATTCCGTAGTCAGACCTGGGAGAAAGAGTACCTTAGCACTGGCAAACCACAGGTTTGGGTGGAAGGGGAAATTCACAGTGCTCTTTCCACCTTCATTTTTCATCACACTGAATTCACAGCCCCCAGTGAAGTAGGTTCTCCCTCTCCCCCCATTTTAGAGATGTGGAAAATGAGGCCCAAAAAGTTGCATAACTTCTAGAAGATGACAAAATGAAGGTTCAAATACAACAAAATATACTGTAAAAAACTCCCCAAACTGCCACCCATTCCCTCACGTACAACAAGCATTGGTTGCAGTCCTACTGTGTGCCAGCCACTGTCCTGGGCACTAGGGACCTAGTAGAAACCCGACACCCTACCCCTCACCTCCAGGGAAGGTCAGAACACAGGCCAAGCCTGGAACATCCAGTTCATGGGCCTGTGAGGAGTGGATTGCGCCTCCACAGTTAAGCCATCGGCCCATCAATGACATCCTGATACAGCTGGCCGCAAGGAAATCTTGAGTTCTAGGATGTTGGGTTCTACTTCTAGTCCCGTTTTGCACAGTGGTTAAGAGCTCAGCTGCTGAGCAAAAGGTTGGCAGTTTGAATCCACCGGCTGCTCCTTGGAAACCCTGTGGGGCAGTTCTACTCTGTCTGTAGGGTCGCTAGGAGCTGGAACCGACTCGACGGCAATGGGTTTAGGGTATTGTGTTCTACTTCTAACCCCATTTCTAACTTAGTAGACCTGGGAAAACTCACTTAACTAACTCTCCGTGCCTCACTGTCTTCACAAATTGGAAAAGTATTCTTTTCCAAGCTCCCGGCATGATCGTGAGGATACAGGCAAGTATCTATTTGGAGAAAAAGGACTTACATTTTTATTTCCTTAAATTCTCAATGAGATGATTTAGTAAAGACATGAGGAACCTTATTTCCAGTATTTATGTTATTTTTGTCCTAAGTATATGGTATGGAAAACTTCTCCCTCCTATGATACTTAAATGCATATTATCTGGTGATCAAAAAATGCAGCGAAACCCCTCGGTCCCCACAACCCCAGGATGTACACCTCATCCATCATCTCTTCCCATTCATTTATACGCGTGTCACTTCCTCACGCATGCACATCTGTTCTCTCTCTGTCAAGGTTCTTGGCCCCAACATCTCCGAAAACTCTGCGAATAAGCAATGGGCTTAGGATTCTCTAGAGAAAAAGAACCAGTGAGTCACATATGTATATATATATAGAGAGAGAGAGACAGAGAGAGAGAAAGAGAGAGAGAGAGGGCAGGGCCCTGGTGGTGCAGTGGTTAAGAACTTGGCTGCTAACCAAAAGGCTGAAGCTGCTCCTTGGTAAACATTTCAATGGTAGAATTTCAGGCATTAAGAAACAAGTGCATTGAGAAAAAAAAGATCCTCTTCCTTGGAATTATGTCATATAAGGCTCTCCCTGTTCTTCTGGGCCAAATATGCCTTTCTGTTGTTGCTGTTAGGTGCTGTCAAGTCTGTTCCAACTCATAGCAACCCTATATGCCTTTCTAGGCTTGGGCATTTGGACAATATTTAAATCAACATGGAATCATCTTTTCCCCCCTTCATCTCCCTTGTAAGGATCAGGAAACTGAAGCTCAGAGAGGGTAAGTGACAGCCCAAAGTTCAGCCAGCACATAGGTGCTGGAGGCAGGATTCGAACTCAGGTCACTGCCTCATGCTGCTGCCGCCCCTGTGAGTGGGGGTCAGAGATGCGCGGCTGGTCTCACTGCTGCCGCTAGCAGGCCTGCTTTTGTGATCTGGGTGGGTGCTGCCTTCCTGGCCCACTGGCTCTGATGTCATGGGCATTGATTGCTTTGCTGGTCTCCGAGTACGCCCTCAGTAACTGCAGAAAGCAGCCTGGGCGGAAATGCCGTGCCGACCGTTTGGTGCCTGGGGCTCCCTGAGGAGACGCGGCCGTGGACGGAAGGCCTCCTGATCTGGGATTGCCTTGGGGACCTTCCTGGCACACACCACTACGACCCAGGCACTGGGGAGGTGACCCACGGTTCCCCTGCCGCTTCCTCCTGTGACTGACCAAGGTACCTTGGAAGGTGTGTCCCACCTTCATAGGACACAGAAGATCATGGGGGCAGGGAACCGGAGTTTGTGGACTGCAGCGGGGGCTCTGACAGGGTCTCTTATGTGCATGAGGATGAGGTGCACGTGCTCTCTGATGGAGTACGTTCAATTTGGTGGTTTGGAAATGAAGAGCCACAGCCAGGTAGTACAGCCGGAGGGATCAAAGCCATTCTGAACAGATGTCTCTAGCGGCGGGCCACAGGGCTCGGTCCTTAGCCACGTCCTGTTCAGCTTCTGCTTTAATCAGGGTCATACAAGAGAATGGAGCCCTGGTGGCACAGTGGTTAAGAGCTCGGCTGCTAACCAAAAGTTGGGCAGTTCAAATCCACCAGCCACTCCTTGGAAACCCTTTGGGGAGTTCTACTCTGTCCTATAGGGTCGCTATGAGTCAGAATTGACTCGATGGCAATGGGTTAGGGGTTAGAATGCAGAGGGTGGCTCTGTGGGGTGGTTGAGAGCAGAGGCTTTGAAATGGGAGTGGAGTGATATTCGAATATCAGCTTTGCCACTTGGCTCTGTGACTTTGGGAAAATTACTTAACCTCTCTGGGCTTCTGTTTCCCCCCTTATTGGGTGGTGTGGATTAAATAATAAAATGTTTGTGGCCTACCCACAGTAAGCACTCACTAAATGGTATCTGTTTGTCTATGGCATTAGTGAATGAAAAGGAGTTGGGAGAAAAGGCTACTATGATGCCCTCATATATCAAGAGTCCCAAAAAATCAGTGACCAGAACAAATGGGAAGGCCCTGTGCTTAGTCCTAAAGAATCAATTGCATGCGCACAAGATAGGGACTTCCAGCTTGTGCTTTAGGACTCCGGGTTTCGGCTGATGGCAGTTGGTGGTGGGACCACCATAAACACACAGACCAACAAAGACCTTTAGGATTGACCTCAGTCTCCCTGCCCAGTCAGGCGGGAACACGAGGACCTGTTCACAGAGTGACCACGACAGGGAAAAGACCTGGACCAATGAGGAATGGCTGGGTGAGCTGGGGGTTTCCAGCCTGGAAAACAAGAGGCAGCAGAGGTGTGCTCGTTGTCAATCACTGAAGGCTGTCGGGAAGATGGCGCTCCTGACTCCTTGTGGTTCCAGCAGAAGCAGCTCTGATGTGGGGAAGCTGAAGGAAGAGCCTGCTGGCAGGCAGAGCAGTCCAGAGAAGGGTGGGACAGGCCCTGGGGGGCAGTGTGCTCCCCGCTGCTGGAGAGGCACGGCGGGAGGAAGGGATGCGGCTCAGCGCTGGACCAGCTGATTTTTGAGAGTTCTCCCAGCCCTGGGATTCAGGACTTTGGCTTCTAATCATTTGCCAGGGAGACACAAAGCCTGTTTCCTGACATTAATTCTTGCCTCCTGCTTAAACCGTGTTACAACCTTGTTAAGAAGGCCGATTAGCTTGGAATCAGTCACGTGATGGGATTAATTTGTCTTGCCTTGGCGCCTGAAGACTCAGAGAAAAAAATGCAAATCCCTAGAGGCCAGGGCCTGGATGGCTTTTAATCGGGCTGAGAAAACTTCAGCCCTAAACCAAAAAACAAACAAACAAATCCATTGCCATCGAGGGGGGTTTAAAAGAAAGAAAAATATTCCCGAACACATTGGTCATATTCCACGCAATTCAACAAAGACCAGGCTCTGCTGATGTGACTGGTGCCCAGATTCTATACTACAGACTATAGTTCCGTACAATAGAGAACTACTGCGCTACCCACTCCTCACGTCTGGCCGTAGTGAACGCCAACGTGCAAGGTGAGAGTAACGCTGGCTGTGAAGGATAAGGTACGTGTCAGCTTGGCTGGGCCATGATTCTCAGGGGTTTGGCAATTAGGTAATGATGTAATTTGGCAGTTATGTCATGATGTAGTCATCCTCCATTTTGTGATCGGATGTGGTCATCCTCCATTTTTGTATAATGCTGAGTTTTGCATACTAACCTAGTCTTTGGAACCTAACCATGTTGATAAGTGAGGGGTGGGTGTATAGAGCATAGTTCTATCTATATTCATGTTTTTTACCATGAATTGCACAGGTGAGCTCACTGCCCAAGTTACCTTTGCTTTGCAGGAGACCAAGACTAAGATTTAGCAAAAGGGCCCAGTGGAAATGGATTTTCATTTGAAAATACAAACGGTTTGAACTGCGCATGGAAGGCAAGGCCAATTCCGTATAACATTCTGGGCCCTCCTGTTAACCAGCTGGTTCCCAGGAAGGCTGACAGACAAGCACACCCAGACCCCGGCGGGTAGTGTGACTGCAGACACACAAAGGGAGAGGAGGCTCGGGAAGGCCTCTGGAGGGGTGGCCTTAACCAACCAGTTGCTGTTGAGTCAATCCTAACTTGTGCGTGTCAGACTATAACTGTGCTCCACGGGGCTTTCAATGGCTGATTTTTTGGAAATGGCAGATCACCAGGCCTTTCTTTTGAGGCACCTCTGGGTGGACTTGAACTGCCAACCTTTCGGTTAGCAGCTGAGAGCATTAACCGTTTGCACCACCCAGGGACTCCGAGCTGGCCTTGGAAGGTAGGATTTCAGTAGCCGGGATGGGTGTGAACCAGAATCCTCGTTCTGGCAGCGTTCTGTGAAAACCCCTGCTGTGTTTAGAGGTGGCCGGCAGCGAGGGCTCCTCCCCACCCCATCCTCTAACAAGGACCACACGGCATTTCTGCTGGGCTGCTCCCTTCCTCCTGCCCGCGGACAGTAGTAAGGCTTATTAAAGGAAAGGCCCCATTCATCCAAAAAGCTGGGACTTGCTTCAGCCTGAACAGAGGTGAGGAGCCCCTGTATCGAGGCTCAGCGACGGCAGCTTTCCTCACCAAGCAGAGCATCTGGCCGTTTCATCCCCAACTGTGGCCAGGAGGTGGACGAGCTTGAAATCAATTTAGCTCGCTGCATATGTGATTTCTAGTACCCTCTCGCTGGGTGAGGAGACATTGTCAGAACTGCAGCAAGGGATTGTCATGGAGACCAGGCGACTGGCTAAATCCCAGAGAAGTTCTTTCAGCAGCCAGAGGTCTGCCAGGTAACAGACCAGCCTCAGCCCTCACCTTGGGGAGGGGACAGTGTGGCAGAAGGAAGGCAGATACATCTCAGGAAGAAGTGGTGGGTGGGAGCGAGGTTAAAGAAAGGCAGCGGCAGAGCGGTCAGTCTATCCGTGAGCTATTTCCTCCTGGGTCAGGTGTCCTGAGCTCAGGAAGGGCGAAGAACAACTGCCTTTATCTTAAATAGCTTTTATAAAAAGTGATATTGAGGTACTTGCTCAATTCTGGAAGAATTCAGAAAAGAGATAACTGGGGACAGTGGTCTTGACCAGCCAGCCATGAAGGTCATTGGGTAGATAACCCGCATACTGCATACTGACGGTGGGTGGGTCTGATGCAGCCTCTGGCAGGCTCTCACAGGTACGTGTCTGGACTTCATAGGACGCTGGCTCCCTTGCAAAGGCATTTGAAAGATGAACTAGGCTGGTGATCCCTGTCTCCCTTCCAATCATACCTGTATCCCAGCTTCAGAAGCTGCACCATCTTGGGCAAGTCATTTCATCTTTTCAGATGTCATCTAGTGAATGCACGGCACAGCGCCTAGCCCGCAGGCTGCTGCAAGGCCGCGTCGGGGCCAAGCGCTCACAACGGACGGGGGCTCAGGAATATGGGCTCATTATGTCCCCCCGCCAACCAAAATCTTTAAAAAAAACCCACTGCCATCGAGTCGATTCTGACCCATAGCAACCCTATAGAACAGGGTAGAACTGCCCCATAGGGTTTGCAAGGCTGTGATCTTTACAGAAGCAGACTGCCATCTCTTTCTCCCCCAGGGTGGCTGGTGGGTTCGAATCACCAACCTTTCGGTTAGCAGCCGAGCGCTTTAACCACTGTGACACCAGGGCTTCTCCACCGAAGTCTTTTACCCATGCCTAATTTCAGATAGGTGTGTGTTCTACATATTTTACTGAAGATTATTGCCAAAAAATGTTACATATTTATTTATCCTTCATTTTTTTCCACTGTAGAGGATGCCAAACCTACCATCATTACTTCACTGTTCCTAAGCCTGGGCATTTAAGCGGTTACCCGTGTTTTCGCTTCACTAATAAAATGCCATCTTGAGGCCCTTTGGTTGCAAGGAAGGGACCCCTCACACTGGGCGAGGGGACGGCCGTCTCCTAGGCACGGGGCCAGGGGCCAAGGCAGCTGCCTTCTCCTTCCCATTCGCTGGTAGGGTTTCGTGGTCTGTGCTTTTTTCTCCACGTCTCCTCTGTTTTCTTCCCTCAGTAGTCCGTTTTCCTGTGCTCACACGTCTCAGTCACAGACCGAAAATGGCCTTCATCACATAATCTTTGAGTTCAGACACCCACCCCCGTGCTGAAGTGGCCATTGGTTCAGAACCTTGAGCGAGAACCTGATTGGCTGCTGGTCAGCCAATGGACTGTCTCTCTGTGGATCAGCTGTCCTCTGGACCCTGCTGGCTGAGGCTGGTGGGGAGTTATGAACTTGGTTCCACCCCTTCAGCAGATAGAGGGTGTGAGTAGGGGGCACGGCCAGAGAAGAGGGGCTGGGCTGTTGGCGGTGGTGGACGCCATGAGTAGTATACTGTATCCAACTCATGGCTCCCCCATGTGTTACAGAGTAGAACTGCTCCTTAGGGTCTTCTTGGCTGTAAACTTAACAGAAGCAGATTGCCAGGACTGCCTTGTGCAGTACCTCAGGGTGGGTGCCAACCATACAACCTTTAGGTTAGCAGTCTAGCACAAATCATTTATGTCACCCAGGGACCTTTGGGCTGGGCAGGTACCTCAAAATATGTCTATAGCAGCAGCTATAAGCGTCGCTGTACATGGGGTGCTTTCTTGCTTTGATTTATTTCCTTAGGCTAAGATCATAAGAGTGTGATTAGGGTCAAGGTAAGTGACAATTCATGACTCATCTCCAGGCAGCTCAGAACTGATTCTGACCAGGCAGACCTGTCCGTGGGGTCCCCTGTAGATGGCAAGTCAGGGAAACCAGGAGCAGAAAAGCCAAGTGGAGTCTCTCTTTCCTTTCCACTCTGGCAGAGATGGGGAGGCAGAGGGTGAGGGAAGGTCTCTCATGGGAAAGCTTCAGCTAAGCCAAGCTCTGAGGACATGGACTACCTGGTCAGGGGTGCTCGAGCCTGTGACAAGCCCCCAGCAGGGTCTGGCTCCAGGAGAGCAGTCCAGAGCAAGTTGCAAAGAAACTTCTACACAAACCTGGGGAGAAAACTAGAGTTTGTAGGAGATAGAATTGATAAAGATTGGGAAAAGAATCTAAGTTGCATCTGGGTGCTTGTTTCTTTAAATTTCACTCTAAATTTTGTCATCATCTAAAAACAGTATTTTTTCACCGTTACTATGCTTATCAGTCATAAGAAAGAGCTCTACACTGGGCAAAAGGAATGATGAATAGAAAAGTTTACTAATCACCCATTTGGGATCATTCCTTTGGTAGCGTCCAGGTATTAAAAAGACGAAGCCAGAATAAACCCAGTGCCCCTTAGTGTACTGAAGGTTTACTACGAGAGGAAGACCCCCAACGAGATGAACTGACACAGTGGCTGCAATGATGGGCTCAAACATAACAACGATTGTGAGGATGGCGCAGGACCAGGCAGTATTTTTTTCTGTTGGACATACGGTGGCTATGAGTCAGAACCGACTCGTCAGCACCTAACAGCAACATACTGAAGGTGGTAGACAGAGAAAAGAACCAGCCACCCTTCACTCCTCCTTTCCTCTCCTTTACAAACAGTTAAGGCACTAGGCTGCTAACTGAAAGGTTAGAAGTTCAAGTCCACCCAGAGGTGCCTTGGAAGAAAGGCCTGGTGATCTACTTCTGAAAAATCAGCCATTGAAAACCCTAAGGAGCACAGTTGTACTCTGACACACATGGGGTCGCCAGGAGTCAGAATCAACTGGGAAGAAACTGGCTCCCCCGCAGGGTAGAGGTTGCAAACGTGGGCCCACAGGGACCCCAGCACCCACATCCTGCTGGTCACCTCTGCTTCTGCCCTGGCTCCTCAAGAAGAAGAGCACCTTTCTTCTACCTCTTCACACTCGCCATCGGTCTGTCTGTCGGTTGCCCTTCCAGGGTGTCGCGACTCATCGTCTCGCTGCGAGCTTGGGCGGCCAGGCATTTACACCACGAGGACCAGCGACCTGACTCTTTCCTGGACCATTTCCAGGGGGCTGAGCTCAAGGAGGTGTCCAGCCGAGATAGCACCGCCCAGTCCAACCTGGGCAGCCAGGAGCCACCAAGCAGAGAGAAAAGGTAAGGAACCAAAAAGGAGGAGGAGCCACCTGCTCAAGACGGGGAGGGAAGCACGTGGCTTTGCCGTCCAGCTGTGATGCCCCCAGTGGGGCAGGGTGGGAGGGGCTGGAGCACCGTCCTCACAGCTGGTCCTTGAAGAGGGCGTCTGTCCACTGGGGAACGCTGTAACCCGAGCACAGCCCTCCTCCCCCGGACTGCAGAAGGGGGAGCCCTTTAAGCAGAGTCACCAACCTGGTTGACCCTTCCTACATGGCTGTTAGCACCCCTGGAATCACTGCTCTGAGAAATGCATCTGGGACGCTGGTCTACCACCTCCCTCCCTCAAAGGACCCTCGTCCCATGCCTCATTTTGTTCAAACACAGGGGCTCGGAGCCGCCAGCCTCGGGGGCACCTAAACGGTGCCTACACTTTCCCATGTAATTGTGTGGGCATTTTTCTGGAAGAGGTCTGTAGTTTGGTCTGTCCCAGATCAGTCAAAGTGGTTATGTGAGGGCGCAGTAGGTGGGAGAGCGGAGGGGACAGTCTGCTTTTCAGTAGGAGGGTCTGTGGGACAAGGCTGCTGAGTGTCCTCCCGCATGGCCCACCGCCCGGGCTGGGGGACTGTGGTGGGTGCTGGCTGTCACAGACACCCAGACAAACCTGCTGGGCTGATGCGCCCTGCTCACACACACACACACACACACGCACACGCACGCACGCACGCACACGCATGCATGTACACGCATGCACACGCACACATACACACACACGCACACACACACATACGCACACACACACAGCAGCTCGCTTGTTCTTGAGAAGTGCCCCCTGAGAGTGGTCTGAGGATAAACCTCTGGGCCACCACAAGTGGGTCACTTGTCCCTGAGGAGAGTCTCCTTCGGCCACTTGGGGCAATCCCGACGGGAGGAGAGGTAAGAGCCTGAGGGGAAGGCTAATTCTTGCCCAGATCCTGCTTTCTAAAACACAGGTTGAAGATCTCTCTTTTTGGCTGAGGCCCCTAGGTAGTACCAAGATTTATAAGATGGGAAGGTGAAAATAAGCCTGATGTCTGCAGAACAGAAGGTCCCTGTGTAATTTGTTAGGGAAAATGCCTTCTGTTTTTGCATGAAGTCAGGATAAGGGCTCCGATTTGGGCTTCTCAGATGGGACATACAAGTACCTAACCCCTGGGGAGTAGAAGGTCGTGGAACCACGGAGAAATGCAGTAGATCTCCCTGGAGCTTCAGCTTTACTTCTGTTGTGTATGTGTGCATGTGTGTCTGTGTGTGTGTGTGTGTGTGTGTGTGTGTGCGCATATATGTGTGCACGTGTGTGTGTGTGTGCAGGGGGTTATAGTACATGTTAGGCAGTTGACTGCAAAATGTACAAACATGTTTAAGATAAAATATGAGGGTTCAGAGAAATTTCTTGGTGGTGGCCCAATAGGTTATGAGGCCCACATCCTCTTCTTTGCTGGGGAAAGGTGAGCAAATGATGGCTGAGAGGGTGAGACCCTCAGAGAGGCATTCTTGGGCACGTGTTGTCACACAAGCTGGACTGCAGACCCTCCTGGTGGCCTGGGCTCTGGGAAGGGGACATGGGAGGGCCTGGGGGGCAGCTCTCGGTTCCCAGGCTGGGTGCTGGCGATGCCTATCCCAGAATCCCAGGACCAGGCTCCCAGACTGAGAGAGGCCTGCATCCTGTTCACTGCTGGGACAGAAAGACAGGGGGACGGCAGACAACATGGAAGAAGAAACCACGGAGGAAGAAAGGCGACGGCAGGAGAGGAGGAAAAAGAGATCCTTAGCCAGACTTTCCAGGACTTCCGAACCAGACGGGTTCAGTTCCTTTCGGGCCAGCAAAGACTTCCTTGGCTTAATCAGATTATCTTCTCCACAACCTTACACTAATGTAGATGAATATTCGATGCTGTGCCCATTTTCAAGTATGGCCAGATGAGCAGAGAGCTGAGCCAGCAGCACATCAGAGTAGGACCCGCCTATATCACAGACACGTGGTCACCCCCCGGAAGGTTCCGGGTGTGTAGATGCTGTGTGACGGTGCAGGATGGCAGCTGATCAATCAGGGAGGCTTTCTTGGGGAGGGGGATTTTGAATTTTTTGAGGCAAAGTCCCATCTGTGAAGTGTCTGTAGAGGCCTGGCTTCCTGGTTAAATGTTGCACTTTCCTGAGAAGGCTTGGCCTGTGGGATCCTGGGAACAGAGACATGGAGCACCCAGGCCGCTGCACTACATGGATCTGAACTGTCACTCCTTCAACATATCACAGGGGTTGATTCCTCGGGGGAGTTTCAGATGATCAGAACCTGTTCCCGTCACAGCCACATCTTGGATGGGGAGAGAGACTTGGGCAAGGCAAGCAGACATAGCCGGAATGAAGGCAGGAAGGGATAGAAAACTGGATGAATGGAAATAGGGAACCAGGGGTGGCGAGGGGGAGAGTGTTGACACATCATGGGGTTGGTGACCAATGTCACAAAACAATTTGTGTATTAACTGTTTAATGAGAAACGAATTTGCTCTGTAAACTTTCACCTAAAGCACAATTAAAAAAGAAGAAGAAGTAGTAACCAAAATGAGGCCTGGGAGATGTTCAGCGTTGTAGAGAGGCATCTTGGGAGGCAGCCCAGTGTCCCTGGTCACTGGGGTCTTCTACAAGTGGGTCTGCAGTGACCACAGACAGGCGAGCCCCTTCCAGCTCTGTGCGTTCAGATTCCCCAATGCTGTGCTCTCTCTGCCTCTCTGCAGCGTCTGGCCGCTGGCCAGAAGCAATGCCAACACCTCCAACAACTCAGGGAAGGAGTAAGTACCTGCGCTCCTGAGTAGAGCCCTGCTCTCCTCCCCCAGCCCCCTGCCCCTCGGAAGCCCAAGCTTTGTCTCCCTCCTCAAGTACTCCTGCTCCCCACCCCCAACCAGTAGACCATTCCAGAATCCTGTCTCTGTCATTGGAAATCCAGCCCTGTGGACAAATGGGGGACGGTTGACTGTACTGTGGGGCTGTGGACTCTCCTCTGTAAAGCCAAGGGCTGGAGTGGAGAAACGTTTCCCACCTTAGCATCCTGTATCTCTGTGCGTTGAGGGGGCAGGCTTGCTGATGCTTCACGGAGCAGCGGATATTCTCCTCAGGGATGAAACACATTTCCATTCTGCAACTTCAAGCTCCTGTGTGTCAATGAGATGCCCTTGTCTTACAGCCAATTCAGGCCAATTTTGAGGGTGTAATCAGGGCAGCGGAAAGAGGAAATTTAAATATTTCCGGAGACTAGCCTCTTGAAATGGTGACCTGCTGTGATTACTTTCTATTGCCAGATGTTGAGCTAGCAGAATCGGCTTGATGAGTGATTCTAGCAGACACCACCCAAGGGCCCAGGGGAGTGTATGCGTGTGTATATGCAGTGTGGGTGTGTGTGCAGGTGTGTGTGTGTGTGTGCGCGTGTGTGCATGGGGGGGCATGTGTGTGGGTGTGGGTGTGTGGGGGCATGTGTATGGGTGTGTGCGTGTATGTGTATGTGCGTGGGGGGGCACATGTGTGGGTGTGGGTGTGTGCATGTGCGTGTGTGTGCGTGTGTGTGTGCATGCGTGTGTGGGTGTGTGTGGGTGTGTGTGTGCATGTGTATGTGGGTGTGTGTGCGTGGGTGTGCGTGCGTGTGTGTGCATGCACGTGTGCGTGCGTGTGTGCGTGCGTGTGTGTGCATGCACGTGTGTGTGCGTGCGTGTGCGTGCGTGTGCGTGTGGGTGGGTGTGCGTGTGTGCGTGCGTGCATGTGTGTACGTGTGGGTGTGTGCGTGTGTGTGCATGCGTGTGGGTGCATTCGCACACCCGTGTATGTGCGCCATTCTGCAGCCTCGGAGCCTCTTTATGGAATAGCTTGGGGGGGAAACGGATGGGAAAAAGGTCTCAGCTGGAGATGGGGGAAATCATCAATGCTGGCATGAAATGCCAATTTCTTCAAATCGAGAGAAATGTACCAAAACTTTTTCTTATTATTTCCCTCTTTGTTCCTCAGACAGAACTTTTTTCTCTTTCCTTCCATGAACCTTAGTTGCATTTTGTTTGCCTAAATTGGGACATCGAATCTAGAGAACCAAATTCCAACAATCAAGGAAAATAGAATTATTTCATCTGCAAAACCATAGTAATCATGATGTGCGCTTGGTTTAAAGCTAATCCTGATGTCACACACCCCTGAGGCCCTGGTAGATGAAGCCTCCCAGTCAGGGAAGGACTCAGGGCGCCAGCCACCGTGAGCGGAGATCCTGTGGGTCTTAGGCTTCTTTGTCCTGCCGCCGGGAGAGATGAGTAAGGATGGGGGCGGCGGGGGGACACTGTTGGCTGCAACACACTCTTTATTCTTTATATTCAGGCTTCTGTTATGGGCCCGACTCATACTGACCCTACAGAACAGAGCAGAACTGCCCCATAGGGTTTCCAAGGAGCAGTTGGTGGACTTGAGTGGCTGACCCTTTGGTTAGCAGCTGAGCTCTTAACCACTGTGCCACCAGGACTCCATGAGTCGGAATCGACTCGATGGCAATACGTTTGGTTTTTGGTATAATGGGCCCACTCTGTAGCCAAGGACCTGAGGACAAAATCAGGGACTGTCCCAAAAGGGGCCATCTGGGTGCAGAAGACACAGGCAATAATTCTTGATGACATCTCTCCCCATTCTTCCCCCATATTTCTGGCCTTTTCACTTGATCCCATAAATCCTAAAAATCTTTCCTGTTCCCAGCCAAAACCAGTATCACTGGGCTATTCCGGGATGCAGCTGCGTGGCGCTGGGTCTCTCCTAGGCCCTCAGCAGTTGGCAGGCAGAGGAGAGGCCAAAGCGTGTAACCTGCTGTAATTGCTTTCTATTGTCAGATGCTGAGCTGGCAAGATCAGTCTGATGGGTGTTTTGGGGACCACGAATCAACAAGGCAAGCTGAGCCTGATGTAATTAAATTCCATGCAGGGCTAAGCCAGCCCGACGAGCTTGTGAGCAGCGCCCTCTGCTGGTGGCTAGGTGTTAAAACTTGAGTGGTAGAGAACAGACTTCAGGAATCATATTGTGAGGTAGATGCCAGAGAATGGAGGCTGGGTGACTGCCCTGCTTCCTCCCATTGATCATTTTAATAATTTTTTATTCTTATTTACTATTTTTTTTTGAAACCCTGGTGGAGTAGTGGTTAAGAGCTACGGCTGCTAACCAAAATGTTGGCAGTTTGAATCCACCAGGCGCTTCTTGGAAACCCTGTGGGGCAGTTCTACTCTGTCCTATAATGTCGCTATGAGTCAGAATCAGCTCAACAGCAACGGTTTTTCAATGAGATTTACTTTTTTTATATAGTCCTCGCCTAAAACTTGGAAAACAAGGAAAATCACACCCGAGCACATACGCAGAAGAAGTATACTTCGCGTTAGCATGGAACCCCGGTACCATCCTTTTTCTAAGCATGTATATGGAATATACGTATGCAATGTACTGGTTAAGAGCGTTTGTATCCCAACTCACCACCGAAGAGCTCTGTGACCCTGGGCAAGTTACGGAACCTCCCTGTGCGTCAGTTTTGTGACTTGTAGAACAAAGATAGTGATAGCGTCCTACTCCCAGGGTCATGTGACGACTAAGTGGGCTAATATGGGTAATGTGCTTAGAACATACCTGGTACACAGTAAGTGCTAAATAAATATTGGCTAAGTAGAGGGTCAGCGAAAAAGACGGAGACCCTCAATGAGATGAATTGAGACAAGGGCTGCAGCAATGGGCTCGAACACACCAGTGATTGTGGGACTGGCGCAGGGCGGGGCAGCGTCTCAGTCTATTTACCATCACGTGAGTCAGGGCTAACCCAACAGCAACTACTAACAATTGTGATGGACAGAGTCATCATCCCCTCCCAGGATGACCATGTCCCTGGAACCTGTGGCTGTGTTACCTACAATGGCCGAGGGGACTTGGCAGGTACAGTTAAGTTTAAGGAACTTAAAATGGAGAAATGACCCTGGATTAACAAGGTGGGCCCAATCTAATCACGTGAGTACTTAAAAGCAGAAGAGGGAGGTAGAAGAGAGAGGAAGGAGGAGAGATTCGAATGTGAGGGACTCAAGCAGCTGGAGGAGGGGCGCCATGACCCACATTATGCAGCAGCCTCCGGAAGCCGGGGAGCGTTCCTAAGCTTACAGCCAGCAAGAAGATGGGACCTTGGTCCTACAACTGCAAGGAACTGAATTATGCCAACAACCCAAATGAACAGGAGAAGGGTTCTCCCTCCGCTCAGGGCGCATTAAGCGGTAAGCACGCTGGCACCGGCTTGCATTGAGCAAGGTGCGCACGGGCTTAATTGCCTTTACTTGCTAATCTGTGGTGAGCAATTTCAATTGGGTTTCACCACATCCTTGACATGGTGGGGGACAGGTGAAACTGTGCACTCAGGATTGGTGGGAAGGCCCAATTGGGCCCGTGCAGACCTGGCTTATTGGGTAATCCGGCCCTGCGGGTCTTCAGAAAGGAACATGGCCTGCTAACAACTTGATTTTAGTTCAGTAAGACCCATCCTGGGCTTCTGACTGCAGAACTGTAAGATAATAAATGTATGTGGTTTTAAGCCACTAAATTTCTGCTAATTCATTATGGAAGCCATAGAAAACTAATAGGGCTTTTGATGCCAGAAGTGGGTGCTTCTATAACAAATACCTAAAAATGTGCAAACAGCTTTGGAATCAAGCACGAGGCAGAGACTGGGAGAATTTTAGGGAGCGTGATTTTTTTTTTTTTTTTTTTTAAAAAAGCCCAGATTGCTTTGAATAGGCTATTAGTGGAATTATGGACATTAAAGACTCTTGCACTCAGGACTCAGAAGGAAGTGCCAAGTATTATACAGAAAACCTAAATTGCCTAAATACCTAATGCCCAAATGGTCACTAAGAGACCGTTAATAATAACCTGGACTTAAAAGACACTGCTGATGAGGGCTCAGAAAGAAATGAGGAACACCTATTGGAAACTCAAGGAAAGGGGATCCTTGTTATATGGTGGCAGAAAGCTTACTGGAATTGTGCCCTACAGTATGTGAAAAGCAGGCCTTGTAGGCAATGGACTTGAGTATTTCCAAGCAAAATGTTGAAGAGGCAGTCTGCTTATAGTAAAATGCAAGAGGAGAGGGATAAATTTAGGGAAAAAACCATTAAACCAAAAAGAACCAACACTTGATGGTTTTGGGACTCCTCAGCCAAGATAAAAATTGAAGAGATTCAGTCAGGAAAGCATGCCTTAGAGACAAAGCTGAGGGTGTTGCTGTATAACTTTTTGCTAGAAAGATCAGATCCTCAGAAACATCAAAAGGTTAGAACTTTCAGTCACATGGAAGACTCTTTGGAGAGATTAGAGTGTGACTCGTATCTTCTCGACTGTCTCAGCAGAAGTCAAAAATAAAGATGAGGTTCAGCAGAAAGATGTGTGGATGAACCTCTTAGTTAGTGGAGCTAATCCTTGTGACATACTTTACCCACAAGGTTCTTACCATTTTTACACTGGCAGAAACTGCTGGCTTAGACCTAAAGGGGCAGAAAGAGTATGAAATAAAAGAAGACCCCATGTGTTGGTAGAGTAGAACTGCAGTCCATAGGTTTTTCAAAGCTGTGACCTTTCAGAAACAGATCACCAGACCTTTCTTCTGAGGCACCTCTGGGCAGGTTTGAACCAAGAACCTTTCCGTTCGTAGTTGAGCGTTTAACTGCTTGCACCATGCAGGGACTCCATAGAAGGCTATCAGATGCCCAAAATTGTAGAGGCAGGAAACAGGCTGATAAGCTACTCAGCTGCAGGCACGACTCTGAGAACTGAGCCATGAACCATACTGGGTTATTCCCAGGCCTCGGAGCCTAAGGGAGCTTGCCTAGGTGGATTTCAAAATTGCTTGGAATCAGTGACTCCTTTTCTCTTTCAATTATTTCCATTCTTTCCATTCTCTTTTGAAACAGAATGTCTATAATTGTTATCTATGCCTGTCCTACCGTTGTATTTTTGGAGCAGGTGCCTTGTTCTTGTTCTCAGGTCCACAGGCAGAGAGGAATTGTGCCCCAGAGAGTCCGATTTAGATGGTGAGATCTGGACTTTAGAGCTGTTGAGATTTAGAGGAGATATTTGGACTTTGAGGCTCTTAGGATGGGGCAAATGCATTTTGTACATGGGATGGCCGTGAATCTTTGAGGGCCAGAAGGCAGACTGTGCTAGGGAGAATAATGGCTCCCCAAGATGCCCATGGAGCCCTGGTGGCACAGTGATTAAGAGCTCAGCTGCTAACCAAAAGGTCAGCAGTTCGAATCCACCAGCTGCTCCTTGGAAACCCTACGGAGCAGTTCTACTCTGTCCTATAGGGTAACTCTGTTCTATTGAGTCAAAATTGACTCAGCGACAATGGGTTTGGTTTTAGGCGAAGATGCTCACTCCCTAATCTCTACATCCTGTGAATACGTTACCTCACAAGGCAAAAGGAACTTCGCAGATGTGATGAAGTGTGAGGACCTTCAGATGGGGAGATTATTCTGTATTATCCAGGTGGCCCAACCTAATCACATGACCACTTCAGAGTGAAGCACCTTCTTTCCCAGCTGCAGAGAGAACCAGAGAGATGGTATCTTGAGAAGGACTCCGCCTGCTGGCTTTGAAGATGAAGGAAGGCTACTACAGAAAACTCGGTCATTGAAAACCCCACGGAGCACAGTTCTACTCTGACCACATGGGGGCGCCATGAGTTGGGGTTGACTTGATGGCAACTGTTGGTTTTGTTTTTTTATACCTCAGTGGGGTGGCCTTACACTTCAGGATCAATTATAATAAATAGATAACCTCATTTCATCCCAACGTGCTGGAAATATCCGCTTCCTGCTCCGCGTCCTCTCTGTTCCGCTGCTGCCCACCCCTCCTCTGTGCTAGTGTCTCTGGTGTGTGAAAATGGCTAAATGTCACCCTGTGTCATCCAGTGACAAGGCGAGGAAGGAGGAGCAAGAGGAAAAGGAAAACCAGAGGAAGGAACACTGCCCCAAACGAGAGCAGTAAGTACCGAGAGAAGCTGTCCCAAGACGGGCTTCGGTGGTCCCAGCAGGGACCTGAGGCAGCGTCCCGGCCCCTCCCCGTGGGGTGTCCAGAGCTGTGCTTCTCAGTGCAACGCGGTCAGGCCTTGGCATCAGTCCTAGGGGGCAGGGGGTGCTTGGGGCTGAAGGACAGGAGGCAGCCAGTCCCAGGCCGGAGGTCACGTGAGGATCCTATCTGCAGGGAAAGTCCTGCCCAGCTCTGGGACCCCAAGGGGGGCTTACGGGTAAAGAGGGCTTTCTGCAGACTCAGGTGAGCAGAGTCCTGCCCCTGTGAGCCCGTTCACTGGCCCCCACAAGCATTCTGCTTGTCCACACGGGTGGCCATCCACACGCGTTCTGGGTAAACTGAGGGCTTCTCTTTGACACTGGAAGATACCACATCCACAGACCCTAATCCAAACGCAATAGTGACAAGAATGGTTGGGAACACTCCAACACCAAGTCAGTGAGCAGCTGATCTTGCACTTGCTGAGGCCGAGCGAAGGCAGGAAGGCCCCTGGGATCGCAGGAGCCGCTCTGCAAGGCCTGGGCCGGCACGGGGGACATACAGGTGGCGGGCAGGGGGAGACACGTGGAGCCAGGCAAAAAGAAGAATCTCAAATACAGCCTGTAAACTCTCATTCTCAGAAAATCTTGAAAATAAAACCAGAAAGCACCCTAAGATATTTTCTTCATTTAATATTGGACCACGTAACCTGGATTACTCACAGGTCGGTGGTTTTGATGGAGAGGCAGGATCCAAGCTGTTGGAAGTGAGATCATCCGCAGAAACGGGTGAGCGGGGTGGAGAGTTCCCGAGAGGACACTCCAGGGCTCCGCAGTTCAGCCCAGAGAGGCACTGCCTCACCGTCTGGGCGATGTTTGACTCTATTTTTCTCTCCTTGATTTTTGGTTTGTGTCTTCAGTATCGGATTGCATGCTTACTAACTGAGCATGTTTAAAGTTTTGCTTGGTGATATGGATTTGGAGAAATCTGATCTGGTAATCCAGGTCACCCATGAGGCAAGTGGCACTGTGGTGCCACAGATCTGCGTTCTGACAATATACCGTGAGAACGAAATAGAGAATTTATTGTGGGCGCCTTTCTGTTAGGTTACATGGGGAACCTGTGGTTTTCCAAACATGACAGAAAGAAACGAAACAAGCCCATCGGGGTTCCCTAGCACACAGGAAAGCCATAATTGTGCCTGCAAGCCTTATCTCACGGAAATAAAGGAGAAAAAGGCAAAAATTTACCAAACTACCAATGTCATAGAAAAATATGTGCACTGCTGTTTCACGAGAAACTTTATTCTGTAAACCGTCACCTGAAGTAGAATTAAAAAATAAATAAATACCAATCATGCACTTAAAAAAAAAAGTTTACAAAACTAACACATCAGGAAGCATCTCCTAACAGAATGCTCAACCGACACAGCAATGAGGGTCTGGTCAAGAGACCCACCTTGCTGCTAAATACATCAGGGCCTGAGTAACACCTTACGCCTGAGGTCCAGAGGCTTAAAAAGTAGCTGATACAGTGTTAATCCAACAGTAACAAAAGAGTTAAATGTACCTTTCCAGGCTCCAGCCCTAGAAGGGGTTAGGTGGGGCCTGGGATCGCCATTTCACTAAACTCCCCCAGAAGTCTCCGAAGCTCCGCCCACAGCCCTCAGTGATATGACCCTGCTGCGTCTTCATTCCCAGCATCCTGAGGGCATGGACGTGGCTACAGGGCACGTGGGAGTGTCACACCGTGATTTTATAGTCAACGTGGCTCATGCTGGGCTTCTGTGCAATGCTGAGCTGGGATGGAAAGACCCCCAGCCTCTTGCGGTCCGTGCCTGCCTCCCAGCCCATCTCTGGGTACAAGACACATGTGCCCCTCTGTGACTGCGAGGACCCCGTTATGAATGACCACCTCTTGAGCTTTGGCCTGAGATTGCCCAGGGGTCTCTAATCCAGGCCTCCAGGACCCTCCAAAGCGAGGGTCTTTCAGCACGCTGCACGGTTTGTGTGTCTGTTTCCAGGAGGAAAAAGGAGGCCGTGGTCGTGGACCCCTCCAGCAACCTGTACTACCACTGGCTGACCATCATTGCCTTGCCCGTCTTCTACAACTGGGGTATGCTGGTGTGCAGGTAGGGGCGGGGCTCCCCGGGGCGGTGTAGGGGTGGGGGCGGGGGAGCGAAGGCAGCCGGGCCTACGAGGCTCCCACCACCGTCCAGACGTGTGTGCCTCGGGTTCTCCGTCTATAAGATAAGGAGGCTCTGAGACAGGGCCATCAGATGCTCTGGAGCACTGGTGGGGCTGTCCTTGAGACCAGCAGCGAGGGGCCGCCGGATGCTCTGGAGCACTGGTGGGGCTGTCCTTGAGACCAGCAGCGAGGGGCCGTCGGATGCTCTGGAGCACTGGTGGGGCTGTCCTTGAGACCAGCAGCAAGGGGCCTGGCACTTTGGGGCCTTCTTAGGCAAGTTGCTACTCTTCTGAGGGGAGTAGGGGGGTGGCATGCGAGCGTGCTGGACAGGGGCGCAGGCAGGGGCGGGTTAACCTGTAAGCAAGGCACGCACGAGCCTGTTGTGTTTACTTACTAATCTGTAGTGCACAATTTTACATGGGTTTCAGGTGAAAAAACAGGTGAAATTGTGCACTACAGATTAGTAAGTAAATACAGGTAAGCCTGTGCGTACCTTGCCTATTGGGTAATCCGTCTCTGGCAGGGGAGGGGTGCTGTTCTCTGAGTGTGAGCGTGGGCTTAGAGGCCTTGCTGAGCAGGCCTGCAAGGGGTGGGGTGGGGGGGGATGCGGGGATAAACTGTGGCCTGAGGGTAAGCGGGGGTTGGGGGTGGGCTTTAGGGCATTCTGGAGCAAGCTTGAAGACTAGGATGCAAGAGCAAGCCGATGCTCTCTGAGCATAAGTCATGGGGCCCTCCGGAACCGGCTTACAGGGTGGGCAAGCTTGAGTGAGCTGCTGCTTTTCCGAGGACAAGCCAGGGGTCTTTGAAGAGTTCCCGAGCAAGCTTTCAGGACAGGGATGAGGGATGAGCCCTATTCTCCTGAGATAAAGCAGGGGCTTTGGGGCTTTTCTGAGCAAACTTGCCAGAAAGGGTACAGGGGCCAGCCGCTGCTTTACTGAGGGGAAGCAGAGTCTTTGGCGTGTTCCTGAGCTGGCCTGCAGGGTGGGGACGCAGATAAGCTGCTGCCCTGCTGCAGGTGGGGGGCGGGCAGCTCTAGGGCAGAGCTGAGCCCGCTGCAGGCAGGAATTGGGCCGAGCGGCTGCTCTCCTGAGGGTGCAGGGGGCAGTTCTGGGGCAGAGCTCTCCTGGGGGTGGGGTGCAGGGGGCAGCTCTGGGGGACAGCTGAGGCAGCTGCAGGCAGGAATTGGGCCAAGTTGCTGCTCTCCTGGGGGTAAGTGGGGGACGAGCATGTCCCAACCAAGCTGCAGCACTGGGTCTCAAGGACAAACTTTGCTCTTCTGAAAGTGACCGGGGGAGGGGTGGTGTGGTTGGGGCAGAATTGAGCAAACTTGCCAGACTGATGTACGTGGGTGAGATGTTGCTTTTCTGAGGATACGCAGGGGCTTTGGGGCATTTCTGCACAAGCCTGCAGAACAGGGATTCAGTGCAAGCTGCTACTCTCCGACAGCAAGCAGTGGGCATGGGGCTTTCCTAAGCAAGGGACAGGGCCCCTGGGCGGTGAAGACTGGAGGTTTGAATCCACCCAGAGGCACCTCGGAAGAAAGGCCTGGTGGTCTACTTCCCCTTGAAAAACCCTGTGGAGCACAGTTCTACTCTGACACACACGGGGTCACCAGGAGTCAATATCGACTCCATGGCAACTGGTTTTCTGAAGCAAAGACACAGCATGGGGATCAGACACCTCCACTCAGCTCATTATTTGACTATTAGTCTGTATAAAGGTGAGCTCCTGCTCTCTGAGGGTGACCCAAGGGTTTAGGGGTGCTTCCTAGCATGCCTGAGGAACAGGGGTCACCCGCTGCTCTTCTCAGGGCACATGGGAGGGCTTAGGGCCGACCCTACACAAGCCTGCAGGATGGGTTTGCAGGGCGAGTCTCTGCACTTCTGAGTGTGCACTGGGATTTGGGGCTTTCCGGCACATGCTGGGGGACCCAGCTGTGGGGAGAGGTGCTGCCTCTGAGCACCGGCAGTGCCTCTGTGCCCTCCTGAGCCAGCGTGCAGGACAAGGACGCAGGGGTGGGTGCCGCTCTTCTGACAGTGAACGAGGGCTTTGTGGTGCTCCTGAGCAAGCTTGCAGGACGAGGAGGCAGGGCTGAGCTGCTGCTCTGTATGGGTGAGGGGTAAGCGGTGGGTTTGGGGGCGTTCTGAGCACGGTGCATGATGGGGACGCAGAGGAGACTGGCTGCTATCTGCGTGTGAGAGGAGGGTTTGGATGATCCACGCGAGCCTGCAGAGCAGGAAATGCATCTCCTGCACTTCTGTGGGTAGGCGGGACCGGGGTGGGGGTGGCACTTGGGCCCGTTCCTAGCAAGCCTGCAGGCCGGGGACGCGCGCACTACCTGCTGTTCCGCTGAGGGTGTGGTCAGGGGCCGCGGAGCCGGTTCTGACTCATAGCGACCCGTGGACAACTGAACAAAACAGTGCCCGGTCCCGCACCATCCTCACAATGGTTGCTATGTTTGAGCCCATTGTTGCAGCCACTGTGTCAATCCATCTTGCTGTCAGTTCCTCTTTTTCGCTGACCCTCTACTTTACCAAGCAAGATGTCCTTCTCCAGGGACTGGTCCCTCCTGATAACATGTCCAAAGTACGTGAGACAAAGTCTCCCCGTCCTTGCTTCTAAGGAGCACTCCGGCTGTACTTCTTCCAAGACAGATTCCTTCTGAGAGCAGGCGGGGACTCTGGAGTGTTCCTGAACAAGTTAGGGGGCAGGGATATGGGGACTAGCGGCCGCTGTCTTGAGGTTCCCTTGAGGGTTTGGGGATACCAATACCGACTGTATGATAAAGCGTGAGCAGAAAGATCTAGAAGTCAGTAACTATTCACTGGCTTGCTCAGTTGTTGTCTCAGAAATTCTCATATTTTTGTTGGAATTTGACTCCAGAAATCCAGCCCTGTTACCATATTTTTGTTGGAATTTGACTCCAGAAATCCAGCCCCATTACCTGGCTCCATGAGTGAGGCCCAGAGAAACTGCAACCGCTAGGGCCCCATGCCTTCCTGCTGAGAGGCAGCAGGGCCTGCTCTCCTTGGTCAATCCTAGTTCTTCCTGTTGAGGGCTCTGCGACCTCAGGGCCTGGGTGTCCACATCAGAAGCCTGTGGTGATGACGCCAGGGCAGTGATGCCGTAGGAAGGCTGTTCCCGGGAGTTAATGATAGTGTTTGTGGCACTGACCCGGCACTGCACTTGGCCCAGGCTCCAGACACACAGCGATCCTTCTCCCACTTGGCCTAGGGCCTGTTTTGATGAGCTTCAGTCCGAGCATCTGATGATGTGGCTGGTCCTGGACTACTCGGCAGATGTCCTCTATGGCCTGGATGTTCTGGTTCGAGCCCGCACAGGTGAGTAGGCCAGTGGGGGTGGGGTGGAGAACGTATCTGGACCAGGACACAGACCCTATAGGGTGTATTAGTGAGGTGAGCCATGGGGACTACAGGGCGTGTTTAGGAAGATCCAAAATGCTAGGCTGGTGTCTTAGTTATGTAGTGCTGCTATAACAGAAGTACCACAAGTGGATGGCTTTATTCTCTCACAGTCCAGTAGGCTAGAAGTCCAAATTCAGGGTGTCAGCTCCAGTGGAAGGCTTTCTCTCACTGTCAGCTCTGGGGGAAAGTCTTTGTCATCAATCTTCCCTCGGCCTAGAAGTGTCTCAGCACAGGAACTCTGGGTCTAAAGGATGCGCTCTGCTCCCAGTGCTGCTTTCTTGGTGATATGAAGTCCCCATGTCACTCTGCTCACTTCTCTCTTTTATATCTAAAAAGAGATTGACTTAAAACACAACCTAATCTTGTAGATTGAGTCCTGCCTCATTAACATAACTGCCTCTAATCCTGCCTCATTAACATCATAGAGATAGGATTTATAACACATAGGAAAATCACATCAGATGACAAAATGGTAGACAATCACACAATACTGGGAATCATGGCCTAGCCAAATTGATACACATATTCAATCCATAAGAGTTAGATAGTACCTACCTTTGACCGTGAGAACCCAGGGAGGCTGGGGACCCTCCCAACAGTGAGAGTGGGTGATGCTGCTGTAGCTCCCTCAACCGGGAACCCTTGGACAAGGCCCTGAGCGAGGATCAGACACCTGGGTTCTGGTCTCCCCTCTCCCAACTAGCTGTGTGACCTTGGGTGAGTCACACTGTCTCTCTGGACCTCGTTTGTATCACCTGTGATGTAAGACGGCTCACTGCAATCTCAAAGGACCCTTCCAGCTCTGGCTACCCAGCACTGGAGGAAGCGAGAGAGGGTCAGGCTTGGAGTCTGTCTTTCTGGACAGCTGAGGATCCAGGACACGCTGCTCTGTGTCTCTTAAAGGAGTTTTAAAAGAACAAGAACTAAAATCTGTAAGGAGTCCCTGGGTGGTGCCAACGGTTAAGGCGCTTGGCTGCTAACTGAAAGTTTGGAGGTTCAAATACACCCAGAGGCTCCTTGAAAGAAAGGCCTGGCCATCTACTTCTGAGAAACCAGCCATTGACAACCCTATGGAGCACAGGTCTACTCTGACACACATGGGGCCGCCAGGAGTCGGGGTCAACTTGACAGCAACTGGTTAAACTCTGAATCAGGGCCAGGCTAACAGTGACTTCTTCAGGTCGCCTCTGGTTGCCAGTGGGAGCTAAAAGCCAACCCACGCCTCCAGCTCCTAGCCGTGCACCCTTGGGACACCTTTTTCTAAATTGCATGCAGATATCCTACAGGTTGGTATAGGCCCTGCTTGTCGCTTACAAGATTTTTGAACTAAAAACTGTACAATTAAAAAAAAAAAAAAAACCATAGCCATCAAGTCGATTCTGACTCATAGAGACCCTATAGGACAGGGTAGAACTGCCCCATAGGGTTTCCAAGGAGCGGCTGGTGGATTTGAACTGTCGAGCTTTTGGTTAGCGGCCGAGCTCTTCGCCACTGCGCCGGCAGGGCTGTACAGTGCAGTAATTGCCAGTATAAACACCAGCACATCACCTCTGCAGAGCTTCCTGGTGTACAGGGCGTTTTCACGCACACTTGTTTTCTCGTTATCACTGCCGCACGAGACAAGACACACAGACGTGGTCATCTCCATTTTACTGATTTAAAACCGAGACCCAGAGACACTCCATGCCTTGCCCAGAGTCCAGGGTCTGTGAGCAGCAGAGCCAAACTGGAACCCCGTCCTATTCCACATCGCTGCCTACCATTGGAACTCTTAGAGACCTCAAGGGCACAGCATGAGGCTTGCGTGGGGGACCGAGCCAGCCCTGGCGGTCTGCCACTGCCTGGTCAGATAAGGCGACATACATCCAGAGCACCTGGCTGTCCCTGGTCTCAAGCTGTAGGGGGACAGGTTGCCCTCACTCAGACACTGACCCCACTTCTTCCTGCGCTCCAGTGGTAGCCCTGACAACCTAAGATGGGCGGAAAGCTGGGGGGTGGGGCTGGGCTGAGGGACGGAAACCAAGTGGCCATAGATCATGTCCCAAGGGAAAAATCCTCAGGATTGAGAGAAAGCAGCAAATCCCATGACACAGGGAATGCCACTCAATTACTTGATAAACACGTGTGTGATGAATGAATGATATCAAGAATGGGGGCTGGGAAACAGGGTGTCCTGATGTGTGAGCACAAACTTGATGTCTGCTTTTCACAGAGGAGGCCATCCCATCCTCAGTCTAGCCCTCCAAGTGTGGCCCGGACCCAGCAGCCTCACCCGGGAACTAGTTAGAAATGCCCAAACCTACCCACAGATGGAAAGCCTGGGACGAGGCCCCTCCATCTGTGTGTTGTGAGCCCTCAGGACGACTCTAATGCTCACCAAAATTTAACAGCATTCATGATATTATTCTAATTTTTGTGTTTGTTTGCAGATGTAAAAAAAAAAAAAAAAAAAAACACAGGGATCATGGCCTACTCAATTGATTTCACCTCACACACCGAATGCCCAGTCTACCCCAGGCCAGTCTGCCTCTCTGGGGGGGTCCCAGGCTTCACCTACTTTAAAAGCCCCTTGGGTGATTCTAAGAAGCTCTGGTGATGCAATAGTGAAGTGCTTGGCTGCTAACCAAAAGGTTGGTGGTTCGAACCCACCCAGTGGCTCTGTGGGAGAAAGACCTAGTGATCTGCTCCTGTAAAGATGGCAGCCTAGGAAACCCTATGGGGCAGTTCTTCTCCGTCACATGGGGTTGCCATGAGTCAAAATGACTCTATGACGCCTAACAACAACAGTGACACCTAATGACAACAACAATGGGTGATTTTAACGTGCAAGTAGCTCTAATGAGAACGGCTGTGTTCCCGGGCAGTGTGTTTAAAAAGTCGGTTATGCCTCACAAGTAATCGGGGACTTGAATTTGATAGGTCATGACCTGAGTTTTAAAACATTTTGTTATCAGTATTTTCCAACATACACAAAAGCAAAGAGGACAGTTTTATGAGCCCCCATAGGCCCCGCACGCAGCTCCAACAGTTACCGACGTTTTGCCGATCTTGCTTCATCTCTTGCTTCAATCGCAGATGGTAACCACTTCAGCACGTATCTCTAACTTTAAAGCACTCTTATTTTTTAACATAACTTCCCTTTTTTTTAATTGAATAGTCATTCCTTGCTATCTTCTAATACTCAATGATACTCAAATTTTTCCAATTGATCTCTGTTTTTAAAAATTAGGATGGAATAGATTAGAACAGCATAAAATAGAAAACAACAGATTGTATTTCATGTAGTAACGTTAAATGTTGTTTTATGAAATCGCTTCTGTTGTATACATATAACTACATCTTGTGCAGTCTCCATGTAAAATATCTTTCTGTGGGTCATAGTCAACAAGAGGCCAGCTCGTTGATGTCCAAGTGATCTCCCTCTTCTTCTTCAGGCTTCCTCGAGCAAGGCCTAATGGTCAAGGATGCTGAGAGGCTATGGAAGCATTACACGAAGACCATTCACTTCAAGCTGGACGTGTTGTCTCTGGTCCCCACGGACCTGGCTTATTTAAGGCTGGGCATGAACTACCCAGAACTGAGGTTCAACCGCCTACTGAAGTTTGCCCGACTCTTTGAATTCTTTGACCGCACGGAGACAAGGACCAACTACCCCAATGTGTTCAGGATCGGGAACCTGGTCTTGTACATCCTCATCATCATCCATTGGAATGCCTGCATCTACTTTGCCATTTCCAAGTTCATTGGTTTCGGGACAGACTCCTGGGTCTACCCAAACATCTCGAACCCAGAGTACGGGCGGCTCTCCAGGAAGTACATTTACAGCCTTTACTGGTCCACCTTGACCCTGACCACCATCGGTGAGACCCCAGCCCCCGTCAAAGATGAGGAGTATCTCTTTGTGGTCATAGATTTCCTGGTGGGCGTCCTGATTTTTGCCACCATTGTGGGCAACGTGGGCTCCATGATCTCTAACATGAATGCTTCGCGGGCAGAGTTCCAGGCCAAGATTGACTCCATCAAGCAGTACATGCAGTTCCGCAAGGTGACCAAGGACTTGGAGATGCGGGTTATCCGCTGGTTCGACTACCTGTGGGCCAACAGGAAGACAGTGGATGAGAAGGAGGTGCTCAAGAACCTCCCAGACAAGCTGAAGGCTGAGATCGCCATCAACGTGCACCTGGACACTCTGAAGAAAGTGCGCATCTTCCAGGACTGCGAGGCGGGGCTGCTGGTGGAGCTGGTGCTGAAGCTGCGGCCCGCTGTGTTCAGCCCTGGGGATTACATCTGCAAGAAGGGGGACATCGGGAGAGAGATGTACATCATCAAGGAGGGCAAGCTGGCAGTGGTGGCTGACGATGGGGTCACCCAGTTCGTGGTCCTAAGTGATGGGAGTTACTTTGGGGAGATCAGCATCTTAAACATCAAGGGAAGCAAGTCGGGGAACCGCAGGACAGCCAACATCAGGAGCATCGGTTACTCGGACCTCTTCTGCCTCTCCAAGGATGACCTGATGGAGGCCCTGACCGAATACCCTGAAGCCAAGAAGGCCCTGGAGGAGAAGGGACGGCAGATCCTGATGAAGGACAACCTGATCGATGAGGACCTGGCCAAGGCCGGGTCGGACCCCAAGGACATCGAGGAGAAGGTGGAGTACCTGGAGTCCTCCCTGGACACCCTGCAGACCAGGTTTGCACGGCTCCTGGCCGAGTACAATGCCACTCAGATGAAGGTGAAGCAGCGTCTCAGCCAGCTGGAGAGCCAGGTGAAGACCTGTGGGAGAAGCTTCCAGTCTGATGGGGAGGCTCCTGGGGATGCTACAAAAACAGAGGACAAACAACAGTGAAAACGCAGGCGTCTGTCTCCCGCTTCACACCATCTGTCAGTGTGAACGCCACATGGCCATGGGCACACAGCACTGGACTTGGCGGGGTTTCATTCCAGCTCTAACCACTCTTTGCAAGCTGTGTGGCTTCAGGAATGGGACTCATTATGTTGGCCCCACTTGGTGCCACATTATTGCAAGACGCATGTGAAACGCTGCACACGGCAGGCTCTGTAAATTGTGAAGTATACCCAATCTGAGTGTGTGAATGTGTGCACATGGAAATCCAATTATTTCTTTTATGGAACCCATGAGGAGTTTTTAGACTTTTTCACTTCTGTAATGTTTTCTTGCCAGTGGAAATTTATTTAGTCCTCACCCCCTCCCCCACCTTGTGAAAATGGAGATAGAAAAGGAAGTTGAAAGTACAGTGTAGTAACTCAATGTCAACCTTACACAAGACAGCTTAGGGGCGTATTTCTGAATCTGGTATCTCCTTGGGGCCCTAGAAACCCTGGCCTTCGGTACTGCTGTGGCAAGCAGGAGTTCTCTGTGGTGAAGAGAGGTCATCCCATCTGAGATCACTTAAAGCCTTTGGCCCCTGTGAAACCAGAATCTGTTTCATAGAAAAGGGAATCTCAGTTAGAAAAGAGACATCTCCTCTTTCTCACTTGCCAAAAGGATTCAAAGACAGCCTGTATCCTCTGTCCTTCTGGCTCCAAGAGGAGAGCTATGTTCCCGGGAGAGCCTTTTGGGTTGGAAGTTGGAATTGTGTCCTAAACCAAACAAAGCTGACAAGAAGGACTTTTAATAGATGAAACCCTCAAGCCATATCTTTGCAAACTGCCCCTTTATCTGCTGAAAAGGAAGCCTCACTCCCTCTTGGAATTACATACTGAGGCAAAGCTCTTAGCTAGCTGAAAGCTTACAGATTGCAGAAACTAGCTTTTTTCATCCAGTAAATAGAATTCTATTAACATTTTAAAACAGATTTATATACTTGGGTTCTATAATTGTAAATTATGACCTCAATGTTCCAATCCTTCACTCAAATAGATGTTGCAAGTACACAAAAATGGGCCATTTGCCTGGTGCAAAGAAGCCATACATACAGGTTTTTTCTTTCTTTTTTCCCTCCTCCCTTCCTTCCTTTTTTTTTTCCCTTACGCCTTCTCCTCATCCTCCTTCTTTCCATCAGACAAAATACCCACTTTGCTTTGTCAAGTTTGGAATCTTTGTGGTCTTGTGTTATAATCCATGTTCTATATAATTGGGCCCTAATGTAGTTCATACAAAAGGTGCTGCATTTTCAAGTGTGTATTTTGGACTTACATGGGTCTCTTCTGGTTTTTATCATGAATCATTTGACCATGTTTAAATTTTTTTAAATGAATCTTAAAAGGTTTATAAAAGGGAGGTGTAATCCAAGCTCCTATCATACACAAACTGTAACTAGCAATGTTTTCTCAAAGTACATGTATTTTAAAAGCCTTAACTATTCGTTATGCCTATATTCATATTTGCACAGGAAAAATAAAGTCCTGGGTTTAAAAAATGTTAAATGACTGCTGTCTCAGATCTTGTCACAAGGCAAGATTCAGTCTCAGGGTAGCTTTCTAGGGCAGCAAGCCTGGATTCCCCAGAAAGAGCAGGTGCTGATGAACAGGGGATGGCACACAGTCAAAGTGAGGGAATGTGAATATGCACAACCAGAACCAGTGAGAAAATTCCACCAAACTTGCAACATTTGTCGGAGTAAATAATCAAAGCATTCAGATATGTAAGAAGAATGTCCCAGCCAGGACAGTTTGCTGACATAGCTTGTCCAGGGTCACCATACAGTGTGGTCAGGCATGAGTGGGCATGAAGCTGGGGGACAGCCTGGCTAAGCATATCCCCGCCTCCTTCTGCTGCTGTTGCTGTAGGAATAAATTAGAGTGTAGGCTATGGATTCAGACCTGCTTTTGTTCAAGGCACAATGCTGACACCTGCTACTTGGGCAAGGTATTTAACCTCTCTAGGCCTTACTTTCCTCACCTGAAAAATGGGAATGATATTACCTACCTCACAAGAGTTGTTGGAAATAAACTTCAAATAACACATTATACTAGGGATGACTTGTTAAACCACGTGGGTACAGAAAACATCACATTGCTTTTCTAGAAGAATAAATGAACACAATATAGTCTGCCTCCAGCTGCTGAGGCTGTTGGAAAAGTGAATCTCAGTTGCTCTCGGGACTCCTTAAAATCCTGGGGCATTTACAGTCTCGGCAGCTGAGACAGGGTTTGTGGGCTTCCACCCATCGTGGCTGCCACCGGAGACTGCCCCTCTCCCTGTGCCACGTTCGGTCTTGGGGATCCATGCTGGGAGTCAGCTTCACTTCATGTCTTTTGTGGAAATCTAAGCTCATTGAAATGTGTGTGTGTGTGTGTGTGTGTGTGTGTGTGTGTGTGTGTGTATTTCTCTCAGAAGAGGGAATCCTTGAGACAGGAAAGAAGAGCGCTGCTGGCAGTCCAGCTTGAAGTAAGACCCCGTGCGGGCCCCGGGGCAGAGCTCCAAGGAGGTGGGAGGTGGGAGGTGGCAGGGCCTTGGATGAGGGGGGCTGGAACCTAAGCTCTGGGGAACCCCACCCAGTGAAGATCCCAGAGCCCCAAGCTCGACATTGACTGTCCTAAAGCCACCAGACCTCAAGGAATCATACAGAGTTAGACAAAGGTATCTCAGCAGTAACCAGCGTAGAGAGTGTCTGAAAATATTTGTAATGCACTGATGCATCAAGAGAGAAGTCCAGGACTTCCGGCAAGATGGCGCTCTAGGCAGAAACACCACGCCGTCCCTCCACAACAAAGATCTGAAAAACTAAGCCAAACAGAGAATCAAC